CCCTTTCATTAACTCAAAGACAGCGTAGTACCTTAGATATTTGAACATTTCTCAGAGTTCTAAAATTTCTCCTTTGCCTTTTACATCTTTCTTCCGAAAGAGTTTACTAACTGGGAATTAATTTTATCTAAATTGATTCTTGAATATTGATCTCTGAAATCTGATCACTTATTTTTGTAAACGTAGACCAGGTCTCACTTGGTACTTAATGTTAATTTAGAAAATTCCAATAGCATGGCTAATGTCTGACAAACTTTGCCATTAATGCTAAACTGGGGAGGTCCCTTTGGCTTCCATTTTCAAAGGTGAGATTGTATTGTACTGATCCCATCTGAGGATGCCTTCCTTATTAATTGAAGGCAATGGAGCTGGAGTTTCTTTAAATCACTGTTCCATCCAATCTGATAGCAAGTCTGCCTGGGTGTTCCTCATTTCCTGTGCTATTTTCATGTCAAATACTGCTGTCCCTTTATTATGCAAGGGATACAATTCATTGAAACCTAGTTGGACTTCCTCTCACTTAACATTCTCCTGTCTTCCGTGTTGACATTCTTCCACCTTCCAACTTCTGTGTTTACACTGAAAAAGCTGTTGCTGGGTAGCTTCGTTATTTATTTTTTTTCCCATCAGACTCATAGGGATATTTTTGGATTATTGTTTATGATGAATATTTATGGGAAATGTTTCTGTGTACTCTAGTGAGAAATCAGTGTTAAAGACGCTGGTCCCACAGCTATCTGTGTCCCTGGAAGCCACATCCTGTTTATATTTAAATAGTGCCAAGTATAGTGCCTTGCATGAAGGAGGACCCAGATTAAACTCCTGTAGCATTGATGTGTGTTTGTTTCATGCATTCTACTGTTTTCACTAATTTATGGCATTTAATCACTAATCCATTAATCTAAGTTTTTGTTTCATTGGATTCATCAAACTAATTGTATGAATTCTACTCTGATACCATGGCCTGAATTGAGATATCAGATTCCCTTAATAAATGGAAGCAGTGAATGTGTTCCTGCTTCTTCCTGATCGGGAGGCCGGCAGTCCTCTGGTCTTGTTTGTTTCCCGGCATTTCCTTTTGTATTCAGCATTTCTTTGAGTGCCCTCTTTGCTTCTTGGAACCTCGCCTTACTACCATCACAATTCTCACAGGTCCCTGCTGTATTGGACCTAAAATGGCAGGGAAGAAAGGAAGAGGAGAGGAGTAAGAAGAGAGGAAAAGGTGAGCTCTGTTCTCAGTGAGTGTGTCTGTAGGCGTATTGATTAGGAAGCTTAAAATCTAAACTCCCTGTCTACAGTCTTGGCCTATCTTGAAGGTTGTGAGTCAACTTAGTGAATGTGTGCAAGGTACTTTTAGGCTGTCTGGCTGGGAGATGGGTTGGGTCCAATGAAAGTAATAGTTCAACTTAGCATTCTCCTTAGATGGCAGCCTCCAGGCAAGAGGAAAAGCCCGTGGCTCTGCCTAGAAGTTCTCACTCAGGTTCAGCATGTCACCAAGTGGTGCTTGGCATTCAGTTTCTTAACAAAGTGATTAGCTCGATAGACGTCTAGATATTTTAAAAAATAAGAATATGGCTTTCTTTTTCTCACGGGGTGCTGTCCATTTTGTCCATTGGAGGGAAGGTGCTGTCACAGTATTAATGTCATCACATATGATCAGCAAGGGCTTCTTAAGTGACTCCCACTTCCTGAGTGATATTGTCCAGTATCGTTGCTTCAAATGCCAATCCCAAATGTCTCTGTTCCAGGACTTTCCCACAATCCAGACTCAGATATCCAACCTCACACTTGACATCTCCACTGAATGTCTAAAAACTTCTCAAATTTAACAAATCCAAAGCCAAACACTTGTCTCCCCACCCCCATTTCAGTTCTCATTCTCACCATCTCGGTTGATGGCAATTCTGTTTTGTTTTTTGTTTTTTTTCTGGTGGCTTAGTGTAAAAACCTGTAGTCATTCTTAACTTTTCTTTTTCTCACACCTGACATTCGACCCACCAGGTAACCCTGTGGTCTCTACCTTTAAAATCTATCTATAATCTGCCCACTTATCACTGACTCCTGCTAACACGCTAGTCTCAGTCCCTGTTGGGACGCAGAACATGCAACTACAAAGTACAGCACTTGGAAACTGAGAAAACACCAGAAGCAGAAAGGTCACTCTGACCATCCGCTGTCTTTCCACTGTCTTTCTGTGTGAGAGCTGATCATAAAGGATTCTCTTGCTTACGTTCCCTGAAAGGTGGGCATAAGACCCTTGTATGACAGTTGCCCTGCCCCTGCCCACCTGGAGGGAAGGAATGCTACACAGGTGCCAAGAAGATTCTGAACAAAGAGGCCATGCTGAGCTCCAGTTTATCACCATTACATCATATGCTTTTTGTCCAATCACCTACACAGCTGTCTATTCTTCATATGCTTCACTGAATGTAAGCACAAAAATAGACAGTTTTCCTGGGTCTTAGGATCTTCATCTCTGAAGTCTCCTTTATCACATAAAACTTTGGTTACATACATTTCTCATGCCTTTCTCTTGTTAACCTGTCTTTTGTTATAGGGGTGTCAGCCATGGCCCTGGTGATGGGTGAGAAAGAGTCTACTTTCCCTCCCCCATACCCCATCACCTTCTCCTGGATGACTGCACTAGCCTCCTCTGTGTCTTCCACCCCCTCCTCCCCATGGTGTATTCTCAACATAGTAGCCGTAGGTCAGTCTCATTTTATTCTTCTACGGTGTTTTTCCATTCCACTCAGAACATGCAAAATCCTGACAGTGGCTTTCTAGTTACTACAGCTGTGCAACAAAACATCCCCAAACTTAATGACTTAACATCACCATTTATTATGTGCAAAATTCTGTGAGTCACGAATTCAGACAAAGTACAGTGAAGGTGACTTGTCTCCATTCTGTGATGTCTGGGTCCCTCAGACTCAAAGGCATGAACCACCTGAAAGGTCATTCACTCAAGTATCTGGAGGTTGGTGCTGGATGTAGTCTAAGATCATCACCCAGACTGTCAGCTGAAATGTCTACACAGGGCCTCTCCATGTGGCTTGAGATGCCTCACAATATGGTGGCTGGGTTCCCAGGACAGAGAGCCAGGCAGAAGCTGGACTCTAGCTTCAGAAGAGATTTAGAGCCCCTTCCATCATACTCAGTGGGCTGGAGCAGCCACAGTCTGTTCAGATTCAAGAGAAGAGCAATACAGTAGATTTTACTTCTTGACGGGAAGCAGCAGCAAAGTTCTGGAAGAGTAGGTGGTACAAGAAATATTGCTGTCGCCATTTTGACACTATAGTCTACCACAGTGACCTGCATGATTGGACCTGTGTTGTTCCTTTTCTCCCCATGGAACATTCAGCCCTGGCCATACTTGTTGGAGAAAACAGATGTGCTCCTGCCCTGGGGCCTTCAGAACGCCTGCTCCCTCCACCTGCTCTGCTCCCCCAGGATGCCTGCCGACTCCCTCTTCCCTCCCTCTGCAAACTTTTATGCAATGCCATTTCCCCAGCGATGCCTTCCCTGACCACTCTACAGCCGTGTTTCGCTTGCTTTCTTTTTTTCCCCTTAAATCCTTATTCTCATTGCCACTGTCTAGTGTTCTATGGAATTTTAATGTTTATTCTTTAGCATCCCTTGCTGCCAGAATGGAAGAACTACAGAAGCAGGAATCTTTACCTCTTCTGTGCAGAGTTATCCCACATGCCTAGAACAGTGTGTGGCACATAAATATGTATGGGATGTGAAACAGAGAGGGCGTTTCTGGTTGGGACATTCTGAACTTGCAATACTTGCTCCAGCTAATACAACTAAGTTTGTATGTTAGACCAGCATAAGTCAATAAGAAAAGACACCAACTTACACAGTTGTTTTCATTGTGTAAATTTCTTTTTTTACCTTTTATGGACTCATGAGCCAGAATGTTTGTTTTAATTTCCATCTAAATATTTGGTTTCTTTATGAGGAACGTCAGGGTACTTGTTCCAGTTCCACTTTCCCTCACCTGACACATACACATTGACTGAAGAAGTCCAAGAATCCCCAGACACTCCAGCAGCATGAATCTGGGCAGCCTGGCTTCTGCATTTGCATATTCTCCAACCTTGGCATGCATGAGCCCTTCAGCATAAATAACCCTTCAGAATAAAGGTTGGAATAAAAACAATGATAAAACCTGCAATAACAATAATACTAACAATGACAGCACCATTGATAATTCCAGCCACCATTTTCTAGAAACCCCTTAGCTTCAGGTGTTCTTCCAGGCACTTGGTGTGCATGTCTGTTAGTTATCACCTTGACAGGAAGGCACCTTCATTCCTCGGATGAGCAAAAGGGGAGTATCAGAATTTGTTTAAAGTATATCAAATCTCTTTTATCCATAAAGTGCCTGTTTGATCTGTTGAACCGTAGCAATTGTTCATTCCTTCAACATTTGGTGGTTACGAAGCGCTGAGTTTATCTCAAAGAGTAGCTGATCTCATCACTCATTGGAAGTTAAGTAATTGATTTCTAGTTACTGGCAGAATCCCATGTTTATGTTTGTTTCTCAATGAAAGGGTCCACAATCCTCCTCTACCCCTGGTGAGGTTCTTCTGGTTCATCTGTAGGATGGGAATCATTACACTCTTAGGTTTCCTCTCCCTGTATTTGACAACCGAGCCCATGGCCACCAGTTGGGAAAGGTAGGAGACACAGAGCACACCTAGTCCATTGAGAGACTATCAGTGAGCTGCCTTTGAAAGACTATGGCAAGGGTGGCTCAGCGCTGTTGCCCCAGCCTCTGACTTTCTCCAGCAGAGGCACTCGGACCCTCCAAGACCTCCCCAACTCATGACTTCATTCAGCCACTCCAATGGATTTGAGGGTTTTCCAAACACAGGATGTTATGATTACTAGTGGCTTGACCTCAGTCCTTTGGCTTTGAGCTTTTAGTTGAATGGTTTTTATTTAATTTTGACAGCAGTTGCATTCACTTTGGATTTCCCTTTTTTCCGCAGAAACAAGTGTGAAGGAAAACACTGTGAAGTACATGGAAACACTTGAGGATAAGCTGTGCAGGTAAGGTTAATAATTTCTGTATTTCAGACTCCACAGCACATCTGGAGTCTTTATTATAACTGAATTTAGTTGAATCAATGAAAAAGGCTGGCAAATTTCTTTAATAAATTAACAAAGAAAGAGACAAAAAAGTTCTTTGAACCACGTAAGTGAAAGATTCGGTGCCAGCCCTTACCTTCTCTTTTAAAAAGTAAATAGATTCAGATGTTTAAAAGTGTCTTAAAGAGATCATAGGATAGTTTTCATATTCCATAAGAAGGAGAAGAATCTGACCAGGTGCGGTGGCTTGTGCCTATAATCCCAGCACTTTGGGATCCCGAAGTGGGCGGATCATGAGGTCAAGAGATTGAGACCATCTTGGCCAACATGGTGAAACTCTCGTCTCTACTAAAAATACAAAAATTAGCTGGGCGTGGTGGCACGCATCTGTAGTCCCAGCTACTCAGGAGGCTGAGGCGGGAGAATCACCTGAACCCAGGAGGCTAAGGTTGCAGTGAGCTGAGATCATGCCACTGCACTCCAGCCTGGTGACAGAGCGAGACTCTATCTTAAAAAAAAAAAAAAAAAAAGAAAGAGACAAGACTCTTTTTAACCATAATAAATTCAGAATTCCTTCTTTAGACTGTTTTCCCCCTTTTTAAAGTTTAGTATTTTAAGGGGGTCTTAAGGATTTTAAAGCAGTTTTTACTTGGTTTGGAATAATACAGAAATGCACTTCTTAGGTTCTGTTTTGAATCCTGAATCAAAACCAGCATGAAAATTTCTGGTTGCTTTTTTTTAAACCCAATTAGGAATTCATCTTTGAGAAATGTCAGGGATGCTGCAGCGTGACAAGTTTCTGGCTTTTATGGATGTGTACTTAGGAAAATAAATCCCAGTCATCAGAATCTGTTTCTAATTAAGGCAACAAGTACTAGAGTTGAAATGACTCCCTGGAAGTCATTTAGTTTTATGGAGACCATTTTGCTACTATTTTGGAATTTGTTAAGTAACTCTTTAGATAGGCTATGCCTTAAACCTTTGTCTGCTAAGACACTGCCATGAGCTAAAATGCTGCTTTTCCCTTAAGAGATGTTGAGAGGGCCTACTCTTCAAGGTAAGCAAGGCACTATAGGATTTATTCTCATCCTTGGAAAGCAGTCCTTTAACCCTCTGATTGATCTTTCCCTGGTTCCCATCCTCCTAGATTTGGGGAGAATCTGTGACACAGGTTTGGTTAGCAGAGGTGAGCGGAATGAGATCTTGCACCTGGGTCAGGTGCTCTGCTCTGAGTCTGGCCTTCCTCCTCTCCCATGTGTTCAGAGCAGATTTCTGGCACGTCCTTCTTGATCTCATCTGCAGCTGCAATTGTTTTAGCCATCAGCACAGCACACACCATAAGTTACGTTAGGTTATTGGGTAGCAAGTTGTAGCCATAAGCGCATGGGTATTGGTAAAGGGAAACCCATTTAAATTGCAGCTCTCTCACATATAAACTGCCTAACCTCAGGTAAGCCCTCACCTTCAGGTTTTGTTTTGTTTTGTTTTAGCTATATAACAGGAGGAAGGGTACCTACCTCCCCAGCTGGTGTGTGAATTTAAATACCATATGTAAAGCACTCAGGTAGTTGGCAGTAGTATTTAATCGGTTCTAATGATAAAACAGTTTGTTTTTTTTCCACTCAGAAGTATTCAATCGGTTCTAATGATAAAAAGAAGGTAAGGTAAGTTTCCTTTACCTTCTTTTTATCATTAGAACTGATTGAATACTTCTCAGTGGAAAAACACAAACTTCTCCTCCTCTGTTCTCACACAGTGCAGTAATCAACACAGAAGGCATCTGTGATGAAATATGTGAGGGTTTCTCCCCAACAAAAAGTGAGCAATCAATTCTGCCACAGACAACAGCTGGGTGTCCTCTAACTCAATTCCAACACCGTCTATCTGGAAACAGCATCAGATGCCGCAGGTTGGGGTCTCAGACCCGCAAGACTGCCCCACTTACAATGCCAACCCAGGTTGTTTTGCCTGTGCTTCTGACTAACCAACTAGAAATTGGGATTCCCATGCCCCTTCTCCTTGGGTTCAATGAATTTGTTACAGTGGTTCCTGAAATTCAGAGAAACACTTACATTTATTGATTTATTGTAAAGGAGATTGCATAGGATACAGATGAAGAGATGCATAGGGGGTGAGGTATGGGGAAGGGGCACTGAGCTTCCATTGCCTTCCTTTGGCGCTCCATCCTGAAGGAGCCTCCACATGTTCAGCTATCTGGAAGCTTTCTGTACCCCGTCCTCTTGGGCCTTCTGTGGAGACATCACTGGATAGGATGATCAAAGCATGGACATCCATGTAGCCATGTGATTGGACAGAAAGGGTATGATCTACCACAAATAGACCTAGTGGGAAAACCCAATAAGTCCTGTTTGTTAAGGTTCCCCAGCTTCTCTGTGCAGCATTTCTTCCTTCAGGGATGGGGTAGGACCCCTTCTGAAATGGAGGTCTATGACCTATAGTCAGACAAGGTAGGTCAGAGAATTTCTTTCCTTCCTTGTTTTTTATAAGTTCAACTTTTATTTTAGATTCAGGGGTACATGTATAGGTTTGTTATATGGATGTGTCACGTGATGCTGAGGTTTGGGGTATGATTGATCCTGTCACTTAAGAAGTGACACAGTAACCTGAAGTTAGTTCCAACCTTGCTTCCTTTCCTCCTCTACTAGTCTCCAGTGTTTATTGTTCCCATCTTGATATCCATGAGTACCCAGTGTTTAGCTTCCACTTACAAGTGAGAACATGCAGTATTTGTTTTTTGTTCCTGCATAATGGCCTGCAGCTGCATCCATGTTCTGCAAAGGACATGATTTCATTCTTTTTATGAGTGCATAGTACTCCATGGATGTACATACCATGTTTTCTTTATCCAGTTCCCCATTGATGGGCATCCAGGTTGATTCCATGTCTTTGCTATTGTGAATAGCGCTGTGATGAACATATGAGTGCGTTCCTCTTCTTGGCTGGATGGCTTATTCTCTTTTGGATATATACCCAGTAATGGGATTGCTGGGTTGAATGGTAGTTCTGTTTAAATTTCTTTGCAAAATCTATGCACTGCTTCTACAGTGGCTGAACTAATGTACAGTACCACTGTCAATGTGTAAGTGTGCTCTTTTCTTCACAGCCTCTCCAGCATCTGTTGGTTTTTGGCTTTTTAATAGTTATTCTGTCTAATGTGAGATGGCATCTCACTGTGGTTTTGGTTTATACTTCTCTGATGATTAGTGATGTTAAACATTTTTTGTATGTTGGTTGGACGCCTGTATGTCTTTTTTTGAGACATATCTTTTGCCCACTTTTTAATAGAATTTTTTGTTTTTTCTTTGTCAAATTGTTTAAGTTCCTTATACATTCTGGATATTAGACCTTTGTTAGATGCATAGTTTGGGAATATTTCCTCCCATTCTGTAGGTTGTCTGTTTACTCTTGATAGTTTCTTTTTCTGTGCAGAAGCTCTTTAATTAGGTTCTGCTTGTGAACTTTTGTTTTTGTTGCAATTGCTTTTGAGGACTTGGGCATAAATTCTTTCCAAAGGCCAGATGCAACTAAAAAAGACGCTGAATATCCAAAGCAATCCTGAACAGAAAGAACAAAGCTGGAGGCATCACATTACCCAACTTCAAACTATACTATAAAGCTACAGTAACAAAAACAGCAGGGTCCCAGTACAAAAGCTGAGAATTTCTTTATGGCCAGCTCCAAGACAGAAAGGCAGGGGGAAATTAGGGTATATTTTTAGTTTTTATGACCTGCCTAGGGGAGAAATAACAGTGGGTATGGGTGTTATGAGCCAGGAATTGTGGATGAAAAGCTATATACATAATCACAACAGTCATGCCCAGAACTCATCCTCTCTCCCTCCATGGCAGCTCCTCCTCCTGTTCATCCAGCCTAATACATGGTCACCACCCACCTGGCTGCCTGGGTGGGCAGAAACCATGGGCTTATGCTGGCTCCCCCGCCTCCTCTCTCACTCAGGTCCTGAGTCTTGTCAGTCTTGCCTCTTTAGCATCTCACAAGCCTGCCTACCTTTATCACACTGACAGTGTGGGCCCCTCTTCTGATCATTATAGCAACTTTTCCTGCTTTGCTGTTCCATTGTTTCCCTCTTACCACTCTCTCCAGGTGGTTTTGAATAAGCATCTTAAAATACCAATCTGGTCATTGCACAAAGCTGCCTGATGTTCTAAGGATAAAGCCTAAATGTTTATATGCTTTCCGGTGTATACACACAGTGTTCTTCCATGTGGCCTCTGTGTGTACTTGAGTATCACCCATCACCACCCCATCATCACCCTATTGCAGCTGATACTTGTTCCTTTATGCCTCCCAATGCCATTGCATTTTTTTTTTACTGGAAAGAAACTAATTTAAAAGCGCTCATGGTTAAGGGATATCACCCTGATAAATATTAGATTGAACCATTCCACTATTTTTACCTAGAAAAATGACAATTTCATATAGTTAACCCATGCTTAGGGATTTGAAGTCATCTTCAGGAGGGTCAGATGCAGTGAACTGAGGCTGGGTGGTCTCCTTGTCTGTGACACTCAGGCATAGCTTGCTCCCCCGACTCCTCTGCATATGCCCTGGTGGGCTTCTCCCAATCCACCCCTCACCTCACCAGGCCTTCCTATTCAGCCTTTGAGGTTTAGATTTCTCCTCTAGGAAATCTTCCCTGACTCAGGGAAGTGCTTGCATTGATTTATTCTCACTTTCCACTTGCTCCTTGAAAGATATTGTAAGATTCAATCTGCCTTGTTCAGGACTGTCTGCTCAGTGATTTGCCAGTGCTGGATGGTACAGGGGTTCCCAATAAACATATATTGAACGAATGATTGAATAAATATATGAATTAATGCAAATAATTTATAAACATCATAGGCTTATCTTCCATTATCTCTAGCCTCTTTCTCTGCCTCTCCAGCCATGCTGATGTTGCAAGCCACCTTGTCCCTGGC